GGAGGGAGCTGAGCCCCCCTGGTTTGTTCTGGAGAGCAAGGTAACCGTGCACAAAGCTTATGGCTTCTCTGCTGAAAACCAGGCTGTGTCTTTGAAGAATTCCCTCAGACCACCGAGGCTTTGCGAAACGCTCTCACCCCCAGACCTAGGCAGGAGCACCTGGCCCCCCCTCCCAGGGCTGGCTCTGGGCTCTCCTCGCCCCACCTTGATTTAAGGAGGGCCCCTCTCCACCCCCAGCGATGGTCTGAACTGCCCAAACTTTCCTTCTGACGGGACCCAGACTTTTTTTTTAAAGAAATATATGTGTTTTTTGGGTTTGTTTTTGGTTTTGTTTTTTTGGCCATGCCACACAGCATGCAGGATCTCAGTTCCCCGACCAGGGATCAAACCCCTGTCCCCAGCAGTGGACGCGCAGAACCCTAACCACTGCACTGCCAGGGAATCCCCCAGCCTCATTTGGGGTAGCTCACTCCCCCAAAGACCCCTCCACTAATGGCTGGTGCATCCTTGTGCTGGTCCACATTTTGCTCTGCACAAACTTATCCTGGTAAGGACTTTTTTTCCAACCAAAATAGATACATACATATATACAAGATCTCGCTACTTGCCTTTGGGACTAATATACCGTGAACATTTTTTGTTTTAATAGATCCGGAGACGATCTGTTCTTGTTGAGAGCTTCATCCTAGAATATGTTTTTGAATGAAATTATGTTTTTATGTGTGTGTTTTTCTGTTTACATCTCAGAATTAATTTCATCTGTGCCCATCGTAGAAAGTCTGGAAAAAGAAGAGAATTAATAACACACACAAGGAGAAATCCTCCCCCCCACAGAAAACGTGCCTGCATTTCCTTCCAGTCATTCTTTCAGTCACCTGTTTTCCTCCCTCGTTTGCTGGTGGGCTGAGTGCAGGACGGATGGGAGAGGGAGTGAGAGAAGCCCCCGACGGTGTATCCCTTTCTAGTTGCTGATATGGTGTCAATTACCACAGCTCTGGAAGTCAGGAGTCTGACAAAGGTCTCACTGGGCTAAAATCAAGGTGTCACCAGGGCCGTGTTCCCTCTGGCGGCTCCACGGGAGAATCCACGTCCTGGCTTTTTCCAGCTTCTCAAGGCCACCTGCATTCCTTGACTGGTGTTCAGCAGTGTAGGGCTGAATCCTTCTTAAGCTTCCCTCCTGGACTTCCAAGGACCCCTGTGATCCCATTGGGCCCATCAGGATAACCTCCCCATCTCAAAGCCTGCTGACTAGCAAACGTACTTCCACTTTGCCAGTAACCTAGCATAGTCACAGGATCTGGGGATTAGGGTGTGGACGTCTTTGGGGACCAGATTCTACCTCTGCAGATGCCCGGGCCTGATGCTGCCAGGACCCAGGCCCAGAGCCCATGTACGAGGTGAGTGGGAGGGAGGAACCAGGGCTCTGGCTGAGACCACACTCCTCAATCCTGGAATACCCAGCTGGAGGTCACTGCCCTCCCTGGACACAAATGCAAATGGCGGGGAATCACCAGTTTGGTAGGATTTACGTCATCTTAAACATATGAATTCTAGTTTATCTGCATTGCTCATTTGTATGCCTTAGAAGTCATTTACGTCCCGGGGGATTAGTACATTCGAAATCAGGGAACGTAGCAAATAAAAATACCCGTGGTTGGGAGCAGCTGGGAGCTGACCTCCACGTTCTGAAGCCAGGGACTGAGACGGGGGGCTGTCACCCTGTGCAAAGATGCTAAACCCACTCCCTAAATACAACTCTAAGCTCCTCCCAGCCCTAAAAAATTCCCACTTAGACCCAGAAATTTCACTAACGAGAGTCTCTCCTAAGGAAATAATTCTAAATATAGAAAAACGCTCCAGCACAAGGCTGTCCAGGGCCGCTTTCCTTGGAAGACTGACTAATTAGAAACAACCTAATTGTCCGACAGCGGGGGACCAGCGGGCCTGTGACAGCAAAGCCTCATTATTAAAAGGCTGAGTCCGGGAGAACACAGACAAGACGCTTTCATCGTGGCGAGCGCAACGCTGCACCGGGAATCGGATGATCACAGCTACAGATGGTTTTGAAAGCAGGGAACAAAGGCTTGAAGGACATTAACAAGAGCATCAGCAGACGTTCTCTCCGGCTGCGGAGGGCGGCGGTGATTTCTCTTCCCCTTTGTTCTACCTCTCGGAATTTTTCAAGTTCCCTGGATGAACATAACAGAAAAGTCTACCTTCGAGTGAACTGGTTGTGTTAACTGACTGGTGTATAAAATTAATCCAGTCCCTTTGTGTGGGTGTGTGAACGTGTGTGTGTTACACATGAGTGTGAGTGCGTGTGTGAGAGTGCAAGCGACGGGGAACTGGAGTGCGCGTCTGAACGTTGAGCGTGACTGGGCGTGAACGTGAATGCGTGGGTGGGTGTGAGGACAAATGCTACAGGTATCAACGTGTGTGTGTGTGCAAATGTATGTATGTGAGTGGACGCATGTGTACACATGGGTGTGAATGTGGGGGGGGCATCAGTGTGGGTGTGTGACCGAGTGTGTGATTACATGCCAGTGTAAATCATGCAAGTGCTCGTGTGAATGTGTGAGATGGGTGGGGTTTAAGTGTGTGATACGAATACGAATATGGGGCTGTTTGTGGACCTGCGAGAGTGGGTGTGACTGTAAGCGTGAGTGTGTGAATGTCAGGTGTGTGCAGGAGGGTACGGCCGTGAGCGTGTGTGTTGGAGTGCGTCTGTGAATCTGTGTGCAGTTGTGAATGCATGTGAGCGTAATCATGAGTGTGTGTGAACGCTGGGTGTGTGCACACACATGAAGGCCTGTGACTGATGGCACGTCTCTGGAGGGGCAGCCCCCCTGCCCGCCCTGCGGTGGGGAGAGGACTCCCCGCAAAACTGCCCGCCCGGGAGAGGCCCCTGCAGCCCTGGAAACGGGCGCCCCGCACCCCCCAGCACCTGCCTGGCTCTGCACACGCTGCACAGGGGGCTGCAGGAGCCCCCAACACCCTGGGCCTCGCCGGCCGCCGGTGGACAGCCCAGCCCCGGCGGCCCCTCTGCACAGGCTGTGCCCCTCGCATCTGTCCACCATCCTGCCCCCAGCAGGGAGGAGCGCCCGGTGAGGGCCCAGAGTGGCTGTGCTGCTCCTAGACCTTCCCCATCGACTCCCCCAGGCCGGGAGCCGGGGCTTCAGCTCAACATAAGAGCCAGCGGCCGCGTGACAAGCGTGATACGGACCTCGCGGAGGAGACCCCGGGGCGGGGCCCAGCCAGGCTTGAAACCCAAAGGGTGCCCATCGCACGGGGAGGACCAAGGAGAGACGCCAAACAAGGGACACCGGGTCCTCGCTGAGAGAGGCCTGCTCTGAAAACACGGAAGAGCCCACCCTTCCGCAGAGGCCTCCCTGACCCCCAACCCAGACTGCGGCCCCTTCCCCGTCGTACCCTCTTGGGTGGCACTTACCACGGCCGGGAACGCAGCTCAGGTGGGCATCCCGGCCAACAGCCAGCACCAACCGCCCCACATGTGAGTGAAGGTGCTTCCAGAAGATCCAGCCCCTGCAAGAGGCTCCGGACATGGTGGGACAGAGGTGGACCACGTCGCTGGGACCTGTCCCTGCCCCACGGACGCTGCGAGCATCTCCAAAAGGCTCCCTACAGCCTGGAGTCGGGGCGGTCTGTCATGGGGTCCCCTCAGCCTTGCTTCTCCCCCTCCCCACTTACCCGTCACCCTAATGATCGCGTCTCACGCGTGTGTGAAGCAGAGCCCCCGGGATTTCTCCTACCCGCATGCCCATCTGATGTCCCCCTGCTGCTGCCTTTGGACACAGCAGGGCAGAGGGTCGGTCCTGCCCCTCTTGGGAAGGTCACTGCTGACCCCTTGAAGGACTGTCCCCTCAGCTTTCTCCCTGGCTCCCGGGTGGAAGTGAACCATGGTGGGGAGTCCCGTGGGTGTGCACCAGGCTTGGGGGACCAGCTCAGGCAGGACCGGGAGGGACGGAGGCTCCTGTCTCCACACTGCTGCTGCAGCTCAGGCGACTCTGGCCTCGAGGACCAACCGGGGGCTCAGGAGGCATCAGTGAGCCCTCCTCGGCCCACCTGACGGTCCCTGCCCTTGTCACTCTGTTCTGCAGCATCCCTGGGGCCCACCTCTGTCCACGGTGCCTCCCAAGTCCAGGTCCCCACTCCTCCCCAGATGCCTGCCCTGGGCATCCCCACCTCAACTGCCACCTTCCATCCCCCTCTGGCTGCGGGCAGAGCCCCTTCCCAGAACCCAGGTCTGGTGGAGGAAGTATCTGCCTAAAACTGAGGCTGCAAACAACCCAGTCACAACAGGACACACGCTGTTACGGTTCCAACTATATGAGGTCCCCAGGAGAGCCAGGTTCATAGAGACAGAAAGTAGACGGCTGGGTGCCAGGGGCTGGGGGCTGGGGGCGGGGGAGGGGAGTGGTTAGTGGGGCAGAGTTTCAGTTTGGGAAGATGGAAACGTTCTGGAGATGACAGTGGTGATGGCTACACGACGACGAGAATCTATTTAATGCCACTGAACTGTACACATAAAAACGGTTAAGACGGTAAATTTTATGTTACGTACTTTTTACCACAATTGAAAACTACAGATATGTGTATTAAATAAAAATGAAACTGACTCAGTCCCCACGGGCCCCAGATAAGGGCTGTGCCGACTCTGCCTCCGCCAGCCTCACGGAGCCCTTGCGCAGGGAGCAGCCTCGGGCCACACCAGTGCCCCTGCCCCCTGCCCGCCAGCCCCATCCTGGCCTCGCCCCTCCTCACAGCAGTCGTCTGCTGATGGCCCCTGGCAGCGCCTGGTGCCCCGCGTTGGGTCTCACGTCTCCATCCAGGGACCCCCAAGGGGCCAAGCACAGACTGTCCTCAACACCTGAACAGCAGCGGGTGACCGGAGCGCCACCGCCTAAGCTCGCCCTCCGGGGCTGCAGAGGGGGTTGCAGAGGAAAGGTCAGGGCGCGCCCCTGCTGGAAGGACCACACAGGTTTTCTAAATCAGGTCCACTTTATTTGAAACTTTTCACATGCCACAAATTTACATGAAAATACCCATTCAAAATGTAGCTGGAACGCGAAATTCAGGAGTGGCCTCACCGGAGGACAAGGAGGTCGGTCATCAGAAGGCAGGTGACGTGTATTCGGTCGTGTAGCACCTGGTCACGCGCATGCCGTGAGAAACCCTGGCACTCACCTCACCCTTCCTCCCATTGGTAACGTGCCAAGCAAGACTGTCCAGTCAGAGGGGCCGGCAGGTGGGCGACGGTCAGAGGGCAGCGGTCCCGGGGCTGAGCACCGCCGGTGGCTGCGGGGTGCCACGTGCCCACGGCCACACGTGCAAAAGCACCCTCACCTCTCGTACCCCCCCCCCCAGCGCAGTGGGCACGGCGGGGAGGCCTCTGGGGTCGGCCGGCTTGGAGTCTGGTGCAGTGGATGCCCTGACCCTGTGACATCAATGCAAGACCTCACACTTCACTGGCTTTTGAAAGAACCTCAGAAAGTAATTCAGAGATGGTGGCTGGCCTGTGTCGGACCCGCAGCTTGTTTGAATTCCTGTGGGTATTTGTTCATCACGCCCAGTGCAATCCTGCGCCCTAGATGCAGACAAGACCAGCGACCATCCCCGAGCCCCTCGGCACAACCCCACCCCTATCCTGTCGGGGCGGGGAGGGGGACTGGGGCTGAGGCCACAAGGACCACAGGTGTCAGCTTCCACGTCCCCCTCACCTCGGGTCTTGTGCCTGAAGCCGTGGGAGCCTGCTGCCACGGCCGCGCTGCATCGTCCTCACCCGCGAACTTCTCTTACTGCTTCTCACAAGGTCTCAGCAATTTTCAAATCCTACAGGAACGAACAGTGAGAACGAGAGGAAGCAGGAGGCTGCCGGCTGCTCCAGTGCCACTCAGAGGAGGACGCGAGGGTGGGCCCGTCAGGGCAGGTCCCCTTCCTGCCAGGCGGGGTCGGGTGGGGGAGGGGGGCCTGAGACCCGCCAAGGCCGTGCACCCAGGGAGGCCCCTGACACAGTGAGGCTGCAACTGCTGGCTTCAGATCCCCTGGCCAACTTACCCAGCCCTGGCCCCTGGCAAGCTTCTGCCCCCTGGGCCGAGCGGCCTGCAGCTCTGGATCCTGGCGCGGGGGGTTAAGGGAGTGTCACCCTCAGCACCCAGCCCTGCTGACCTGCCCAAGGAGGGGCCCTCGGGGGCCTTGCGGATGAGGGACCCTCGGACCTGTCTCCTTGGGTCCTCGGACGGGCAGCTGACGGGTGGGGATGAAATCCGTCCCCTTGTTGTATGAGAGTGAAGTGCCCTTAATCCAGCCCCCTCGGCTCGGAAATAAAAACACTCGCACGTGACAAAGAGAGAAGCCACCGACAGCAGGGAAGGGGGCCTGAGGGTCTCTACTCTCCTCAGGCTCAAGAAGCCTCTCTGGGGGAGCACCTTCAGGCCCGGCCAGCTAGGCTGCCTGACGCTGGCCAGCTAGGCTGCCTGACTCTGCGGCGGCAAAGCCACAGCCCTGGGAGCAGGCGGGGCCGAGGAGTCTAGGGGCGAGGAGGGGCCACAGGCAGAGGGGCGGCCTCAGGAGGCCGGGGGTTTCTCTTTTTAACAGAGAGATCTCCCTGATCCCCTCCTCCCTCATTCCCACCTCCCCCAGTGTCTGCCTCACGCACACAGCGTGCACACACACACGTGCACACCAGGAACAAGAGCCCGTCCACAGCAGACTACACTCACACATGTAGGTGCACAGACGTCCATGCACGCACCATGCACACGCGCACGCACACACACGCGCGCAGGCGCCAGTGCTGACCAGGCCCCTCTCAGCAGGCAGCATATGGTCCGTCGCTTCACAGCCCAGTTCTGCCAATTGGGGCCCATTAGGGTGGGTTCTTCTCCCAGCGTAAGATGCTGCAGAACATAAGCTGCAATTAACACCGGCGCCAAAATGCACTCAGCAAGAATAAGCACGTTATTAACAGCTGGGGGACCCCGTCTTGGGTGGAGAAGCAGCGGAAATTCTTGCTCTAAGGAAAGGACGGCTGAGGGGGACACTAAAGATACAAGGCCTCCTGTTCGGGGGCTGCTTTCCAAGTCAGCCCGTGCCCCAGCCTCTCGTGAACGGCCCCTCCCGGCCCTGTTTGCTGGCATAAATGACACTGCTGGTTAAAACTGCTTGCTCATGAGAACAGGCCATCCGGGCCAGAGCACGAAAACCATGGCAGCCTGTGGATAAATTCTTAGTGGAACGATCATCCTCTGGCCTGAGCCCAGGTTGCTCTGGACGAAAGGAGATGTGTACCCAGGGCCCCAGGGGTCCCGGGGTCGGCCAGACCACCTGCCCCCATCCTGGGCCACGTCCCTCTGCCGGTCGGGCTGTAACTGGCCACGCTCCTGCTGTGACGGCAACGAGCAGTCAGTCCCCACATCACCCTTCCTGATCACCCTCCCGGTGGTCTCAAGGCGCAACTGAAAGACATGCCCAGAAATGGGGTGGGGGACTCCCACCACCTCTCAGACCCTCATCTACAGCGTGTGGCCCTAACGAGGGCCTTGGCCCTGTCTCCCCAGGGCCCAGGACAGCCTGGCCTGCGGCCTGCATGGCCAGAGGGGCGGGCCCGGTTGTGACTCTCAGGCCAGGTCAGGACTGCGGAGGGGAGGGCTGCAGGTCTGGTGGGGGTCCCACCGGGGGTCAGCGGCAGACAGGTCCCTCTGGGCAGGAGGCAAAGAGCCTCCAGCGGAAGCTGGGGAGGGAGGGAGGAGGGCACCCCACGCTCCAGAGAGGAGACAGCTCTACCCTCGGCAAGAAAACCACAGCGCAGGGGGAGGAGACCCAGCTCCACCCGGTGCTGCGGGGAGGTGAGAGCAGGGCCGGGGCCGCGGGGACAGGTGGAGGCCGCCAGACAGACTGCGCTTAGGGAGAATCGACCGGAGCACTCGGGGGCCTGTGTGCGTCCCGAGACCCTGGCCCTCCGAGCACTTCCACCATCAGAAGGCTTCCTGGACCCCCTCGGCCTGGCAGGGCAGGGACTGCTGAACTCTGCCCCTTGAGAACCCAGGGAAGGGCAGGTGAACACAGGCCCAGGGTCCAGGTACCGGGCCCTGCAACAGGCAAACTATAGGACACACTACACGACACGGGGCGACCATCACATGGAACAGAGTGGGAAGCGGGCTGGGCTGGGGGCCACAGAGTGGACGGCAGCCGAGACGGGCCGCAGCGGTGAGGAGGGCCTGGGGAACCTGCACCCCCAGCCCAGAGGGAGAGGGAGGCTTGGGCAAGATGGGCCCAGCCCCTGGGGTCCTGGGGAGGCAACCTCTGCGGAGACCCAGGTACCCCCGGCTGGAAGCCACCCCGACGCCACTCAGCCTTCCCTGGAAGTCTCCAGGAGCGTCACCGGGAGCGTTGGGGCAAGACGCTGGGTGGAGGGAACCCAACTGGGGCCCCTCAGAAGCCCACCAGCCGCAGGGATGACGGCTCTGGGGGAGTCTCACGGCTGACAAGGCAGAAGCAGTGGGCGGCACGTGGCGGGAGGCCCAGGACACTGGGAGGACGTCCCTCGTTTTGGGAATAGCTGCGTTGCATTTTTTTGTGTGTGTGTGTTGCATTTTTTTAAAGTGCTAAATAAAGCTATCTGAAACGGGGTAATGTGATCACTCCTCCAGCCCCACACATCCCTTCTGGGTTTTAATATTTCAAGGTTTTCTAATGAAGCAGGTCTATCCGTGTTTCCCCAGAAACAGAGACCTTCACAGGGACCTGCAGCTTCCCTGCCCAGCAACCCGCTGCTGGCCCGAACCTGTCTGATGTCATGTGGCTGGACACATACCAGAGGTGTAACTGGGTTAAATGGAAGGAGGGGAGAGCCCCAAATCTGCCACAGCACCTGCAAGCCCCTCCCTGCCTCGGGCTCACAGCCGCCCACCACAGAGCCCGAGGCAGGTGACCAGGAGCACAGGGCCTCTCCTGGGGGCTGGGGGACGGCCGTGGGGTCACGTGGCGCTCTGGCGACCTGGCCCCCAAGGAGTCAGCGTCCTGGCGATGGGTGTCTCAGCCCAAGACCACGCCGGCCAGGCCCGCAGGTCGCCCGACAACCGGCCCTGCCGCCGCTGCCTCACGCATCTCAGCCGGAGCGTCACTGAGCACAGGCTCCTCACAAGAGGAGGCCCCTAAGGGCTGGGGAGGGGGCTTCCTTCCTCCGGTGACCCACCGGGCATCCGGCGTCCTCGGGCAGGGGAGCAGCCGCGGCGGCCGTGGCAAGGCCGGAAGCCACACACCTGACCGGGGCAGTCCTGCTTGCTCGGCCACGGAGACGCAGCGGCCACAGGTGGCGACGGGCCGGTGGGGGCCCACTCCTGTCACCACCACAGATTTGGCGGCTCCTCGGCCACTCTGCTTTTAAATAAGGTGACCTCGTCCAGGTGCACCATGGGAACGTCTCGGATGACATCGGTCAGGCCCTCGTGGAGCAGAGGGAAGATGACGACGTTCAGCGCGGGCCGCTCGGCCTGGAAACTGAACCAGAGGCAGGCTGTTAGCAGGACCACGGAGGGAGGGACGGAGATAGGGAGGCTGGGCTCAGGGCGTGGAGGTGGCCAGGGTCAGGCTGTGTCCCAGAGCACCGGCTGACGCAGGAATGTGCCTCCGGGGCCCCTCACGCTGAGGCTCCAGGGAGCAGGCAGGAGGGCAGCCCGTCGGGGCAGGCCCCTGCCTTCCCGGGCAGCGGGGGTCCCTGAAGGGTAACACCCAGGGGGCTGCAGAAACAGCGTCTGTGGTCACTGGAGGCCCCACGGCCAGGACACCCGCAGGGGAGTGGAGAGAGGGGACAGGCGGCCAAACCCGCATGCCCACAGGCCACCCTCGAGGGACATGAACGCCCAAGTCAGGTGAGGCAGCCACTCTGCCAGGAGACCAAAGCAAGGAACACGTGACAAGTAACTGTCAGACGACCCTCTCACCTTCCACACCCACGGGTGACAGGCTCCACCCCGTGGGGTGCGAGACAACATCCACGGAGCATCTGCCAGGCCAGGCACCACACTGGAGCTGGCCCCAGTGGCCAGCCAGTGAGATGACCCTCTCCCTTCCCACCTGGAACCCGAGGTGACTCTGGTCATGGGAGAAACTTCCATCCCGTGGGGCTCAAAGGGCGAGAGGCAGGAAGGTGCCCACACAATTTGCCAAAGCTAAAGCCAGGTCCCAAGTCCTGCGCCTGCTTCAGGGAACAAGGAAAGCGCAGTCCCAGCCTCCCCCTGCCCCCGGCCCCCCAGCAACACTGAGCTGGATCTGCTGGATTTACGACATATGTAAAATGAACGCCAGAAAGGCACTCATAAAACTTCATGTTTTGGCAATAAAAATGCCGAGGAAATACCTCCCGGTTCTGTGCGCCACGTTATGCCCCCGGCAGCGGCGTCTGTGACCGTGAACCGGCAAGTCCTCACCTGCAAACCCGCTGTGCGATCTACTCTGCTTGAAACAAAATACCCTCAGGTGTGGGATGTGCGTGCAAGGCTCCTGCCTGCCTGCCATCCTGAGGCTCTTAATGAGCTGCTGTCAAGATGCTGAAGGGGGATTAATTTCTCACCCAAAGTGAGGAATGTGGCGACGTGCTGTCCCTTCCCCGCCGCCCTGACCGCTGACGCGCACGCAGGGTGGAGGGGCCGCCCCAGAATCAAACCAACTTCCTTCTCAAGGCTTTCTCCACGGGGTCGGCACCTGGGTCGGCTCCGACCTGGGCAGGGCTGGGGGGCCTCGCCCGCACCTGCCTCTCTGTAAAGCCCCTCTCCGGCCCGAGGAGCCTGCGCACTCCCCCAGCTGCAGCCTCATTGTCCCCACCCAGAGTGAAGCCTGGAGTCGGCGACAAGACAGTGGACAAGGGGCAAAGGCAGAGAGAGCGATCACTCCCTTCCGAGTGCAGGGCTGGGGCTCCCCCGGGCGGAAGGAGGCAAGTTCTCGGCTGGGGCTCATGTGCGGACCGAGAGCTCCGCGGGTTCTGCTGGGTCACCTGCACATGCGTTCTAATGTTCATTTGTGCGATTCAAATATAGTTTGAGATTTAGGTAAACAGACACAATGAAATAAAATAAAACTCCTTCCAGCTACCCACATTCAGAACTAGCCTGATGACCGCCAGCAGGACAGGCCACCTCTTGGGACCACTCCCCTGACCAGGGCTATTCACATTACTAAAGACCCGAGGGGGCAGCCTCTGGCCTGGAGTCACGAGCACAAAGCCAGGCCTGCGAGGTCCATGGGTTCACCTTCAGGCACAGGCGTGCGTACCCTCCTGGCGCACTCCCCCCTCCCTGGGCACCCTCCCGTGCACGCATTCCCCAGGCCCAGCTCTGCACTCAGCTGCCCCCATGCCATCCTGGGCAGCAGAGAGAGCAGAGCCCTGCCCCTGCAACCCTGGATCCCACCTGGGGGCGACAGAGGCAAGATTTACAGAGCTCACACGCTAAGCCCGCGACAGGGGCCGCTCACTCGCTCTGAAACCTGCAGAGCGAGTTGCAGACGCCACCGTGGAGACGCCCCTCCCGAAGGGTCTGAGGGTGACTCAGGGCTTTCAAAAACACAGAGGTTCAGGAAAGTTCAACCATACTTACTCTCTGCCATTTATAACAGCCGGAAGGGAGATACCACATTGAAGAAAACTTTCTACCTGAGGCTGTTAAAAACACACCAGGGGATTTAAAATGGGGCCTTTGGCTATCTGAAAAACCAGCTGCCCAAAATACCTTCCTTCTCTGAGCCTCCAAGGAAGCAAGCAAGATTTTGCTTGTTTTAAAACCATTGTTTTGGGCTTCCCTGGTGGTGCAGTGGTTAAGAATCCGCCAGCCAACGCAGGGGATACGGGTTTGAGCCCTGGCCAGGGAAGATCCCACATGCCGCGAAGCAACTAAGCCCGTGCGCCACAACTACTGAGCCTGCGCTCTAGAGCCCGTGAGCCACAACTACTGAAGACCACGCGCCACAACTACTGAAGCCCACGCGCCTAGAGCCCGTGCTCCGCAACAAGAGAAGCCACTGCAATGAGCAGCCCGCGCACTGCAACGAGGAGTAGCCCCCGCTCACCGCAACTGGAGAAAGCCCAGGCGCAGCAACGAAGACCCTATGCAGCCATTAATTAAATTAATTATTTTTTTAAAAGGCACTGTTTTGGGGCTTCCCTGGTGGCGCGGTGGTTGAGAGTCCGCCTGCCGATGCAGGGGACGCGGGTTCGTGCCCCGGTCCGGGAGGATCCCACGTGCCGCGGAGCGGCTGGGCCCGTGAGCCATGGCCGCTGAGCCTGCGCGTCCGGAGCCTGTGCTCCGCAACGGGAGAGGCCACAGCAGTGAGGGGCCCGCGTACCGCAAAAAAAAGCACAGAGGCGGGCAGTGGCCAAGAATAAAACATCCATCAAAGGTTCACAGAACTCAGATGATGCTCTGGGCAGGCGTGTGGGGTGCGCCCTTCTCAGCTCCCCACCAAACTTGCTGGGACCCACAGGGCACCTCGGAGCAGCCTGGAATCTGCCCTCGCGCAGAGGAAGGGGGTGGGAGAGACTCTCGGTGTCAGCTGTCATGGTCCGATGCGGCCCCCAGGTCCCATGTGGGAGAGGATTGTAAATCCGAGGGCCTGACCCCTGGAACCGGTAACTCCAGTGCGAGGCTCTGTCACCGGAAAGGCCTGAAGGACAAAGGCCAGGACAAAACAGAAGACAGAGGAGCAGGTTTGGGATGTCCCCAGGGCTCCTCCCCTCCCCCGCAAGACGCTGTCAGGGCCTCTCCCCAGGAACGACAACACAGATTTCTCGTAGCCTTCCAGAAACACTTTATGCACGTGCCAGCAGAGAAACAGATTACGCCCCTGCTTTTGTTTGAGACACACTTTGAAAGATTCCCTTTGGTGACCCCAAGTGCTTCCTCGTTCTTTTATCAGCTGCATTTCATTCCATCAACTGGAGGCATCATAATTTATTTCCCAGTCTCCTACCGATGGACACTTGGGTTGTTTTCAATCTTTTGCTAAATCGAACAGCACCGCCATGAAGAGCTCTATGCAAACCCCATGGATAAGCCCGTCCATAGAACCGAAGCCTAAAGGCGGGAGCTTAGTTGGGTCAGGGGTGTGCATTCCGATCCACAGAGGTGGCCCACCTACCTTGGGCCACGGGCTGGTCTCTTCCCTCCACTAACACAAGCAGGCTTTGCCTGAGGGGGTGGAAAACGTTATACCGAAGTGCACCCCGGGCAGTGCAGCCCCATGGGACCAGCACCCACGCCCCAGAAGCCCTGGGCCACCCTGGCAGTCACCTCCTCGACCCCTACCAGAGCGGACCACCGCCTGCTTTTGAACTCTCCAGAAACAGTTGTTCGCTGTAATTTAGCTCCTGGTTTTCTCACGGGGGAGGCTGGGTGCTTTCTCTCAGTTGAGAATCACCTGCAGCCCCTGTCCTGTGCCCTCAGACCCCCGCCTGGTTTGAATGGTGCTACTGGTCCTGTCCTCACTGCTGGGCAGGCAGGAGGCCAGGACAATCCGACCTCTGGCAGTGACAGGACCTGCAGATGGTTCTCCTACTTCGTCATTTTCTGTAAATGATTTTTTTAAAACACGCAAAGATATTCAACTTCATTCACAAAAAATATGAGTTGAAAACCACAGTAAGTGTCAACAGACAAAAGGACAAACAAAATATGACCTATCCACAGGTTGGAATCTCACTCGGCCTTAAAAGGAAGGGATTCTGACACGTGCTACAACATGGACGAACCTCGAGGACATCATGCTAAGTGGAATAAAGCAGACATCATGGACAAATACTGTAGGATTCTGCTTCTGTAAGGTACCTACAGGGGTCAAGGTCATAGACAGAGAGCAGAACGGTGCTTGGCAGGAGTTGGGGGAAAGAGGAGAAGGGGGGTATTGTTTAACGCATATGGAGTTGCTGTTTGGGACGATAAAAAGGTTTTGGGTGTAGACTGTGGTGATAGGTACACCACAGCATTTAATGCCTCTGAACTGTATACTTACAAATGGCTAAAATGATAACTATTATCTTATAAATGTTTTACCACAATAAAAAATTTAAAAGGAAGGAACAGAATCTGCCTTCAGAGAAATGGAGAGATGCCCAACGCTCACAACTACCCTGGTGACCTGGTGCCGCACGTCGTCCGCCCTCACCTGCCACGGGGCTGATGCCGCCAGCTGGGGACTCATGCCAGTCTTCCACAGCCCAAAGCCAGGAACACCAGGCATCACTGTCCCCAGACCTTCGCTGGAATCAATCCTCCAAGAGACCCCTAAGAAAAGGGAGGTGTGTGAACCACGGCAGAGACAGGACGACAGAACACAGCTGCGTTTCTCGTCACAGAAAAGACAGCCACCCTACGTCGCCCTCGAGGGAGGGACCCTCAGGAGTGCGAAGCACAGCCTGGCGACCAGTAGGTCCCCAGGGACGTTCCGTGCTGTTGCGGCGTGAACAGCAGCAGGAGCCCGGAGTCTGACCGCAGATCCAAGCCTCGGGCCCG